TTCCTTTTTAGTTTTTTTTATATGACTTTATTTCTTAAAATTATTTATTTGGTGAGATAATATTTATAAGAATTTTATTCAAAAACTAATTTGGTAATTATATTTATAATCTAAATCATTAATAATAGTATTAACCTCTTAACACAAAATAAAGAGTTTTTGGTCATTTTACATTAAATGCATCAAGATATAGGTACAAAAACACCAAACGAACATATTTCTTTCTAGATACAATTTCTAGACGCATAAAGAAAAAACACAAACGAACATCATCTGGATGCTACGTCTAGATGCTGCATCTAGATATTAAGTCCAAACACACAAACGAACAACTCCTCATTTGTTTTCCTCTGTTCTTAAAGTTAGTTCATTCACACATTCAACAAACATCATCATGCTTTATCAATGAAGAAAAATTTGATACTTGTTTTTCAAGTAACGAAATTAAGAAATTTGCAGAAATGTCAAGTTGTTTCTCATCTTCAATTTCAACTTCAGAAATATCATGGATCCTTTGTTTCGAAAAATTTACAGTTCGAGTTTCAACTATTAAATGTGACTGCCAAAACTTCGTTTTTTTAACTTTTGTCTGCTAAAACTTGTTTCTTTGACTTATCTTAACGAATGGTTCATCTAGTTTCACTAACTCTACTTGTCATGTTATCCCCACCGGTGAATTCGCGAGCTGTGCAAGAATCTTAGTTAAGCTCTTTAAAAAAAAAAGTAAAACGAACAAACATTACTTTATGAGAAAATAACAAAAGTGTAATATCTCTTTTAAAAAAAATATATATATATATCATTGTTGACTTGGAAGAATATTCGCTATTTAATTTTTTTTAAATTTGAACTTTGTAAAAGAAATATTTCGCAGCTGATTTTTTTTTTCAAATCTTATTTTTTCATATAAAACGAAAAAATTTGTGTTTGAAATCTGGAACAATTGAAATCTCCATGGAAATGTGTCTTTTCAATGTTTGTTCGGTTGGTTCGGGTTTATCAAAAATTTCAAACAAACATAACCAAGGGGAACGTAGGAATTATGGTGATTATGGTAATTGAAATAATAATTGGATATTCTTATTGATTTGAAATCTCACGTATCAAGTAAATGAACTTTTATTAATGTTTGTTTCTAAAATAGAAATATTTGAATTTAAAAGATAATTTGGTATATTCTTATGCACCAAGATTTATGCAATTTTAATTTTTTTATTTTTTCTTACTAATGTTTGTTTCCAAAAGAAATGTTTCCTTTTTGACTTTAGAAAGTAATCTCGACATATTTGTGTACACAAAAATTTATTCAGTTTAAATATATAAATTTTATTACAGNTTNTTANTTAGATNNATTATAAAATNAGTATTTATTGCTGACGAATGTTTAGTTATTAAATATGAATTTAAATGTAAAATTTGTAACTAAACTATGTTGCTCTATGATACAAAAAAAACATTAATGGGAACGTTGTTATAAAAATTCAATAGAAAAATATTTGAGAATCTAGAATAGCTTGCCACTCTTTGCACTCAATTGTTTGATCATTGCATATCCATCAAATATTTTGTCTCCGATAAGCGTCAAGATTTTTAGATTCCTGTAATGATAGCAACAAAAACCACTCTATCTATTAAAAAAAGCATAATGATATATGGATAGTCTACTAAACAAATGCAATGATAGGTAAAATCCAGAAAAAAATCATGCCAATTTTAATGCTTTCTTCCAAAATATGATGGAATTGACGCACACAAAAACTAACCTTATGAAGTTCCTCTTATATTAAACGAAAAAAAAAATTACGGTTTGACTAATTTCTTTTCATGCTATAAATTATTTTTGAAAATAGAAAAGACTTTGTCATGAATCATATAACAACTATAATCTCTTTGGCAACTATGATTTATTACGATTTTTGTTAAAACCATTAAAATATTAAAAAGAAGGAAGAACAATTAAGATNGNNAAAAAATTANAAATTTACAGCATNGAAATGAAAGAGACATTTACATGATTTTGCATTTGCTATCTTCAGAGGATTTGTTATCGTGTTTTGAAGAGGCAGATGATGAAGTTGATGATGGCGTGACAAACAAAAATAATTGTTAGACAAAAAATAGAGGAAACATAGGNAAGGANATACGTCGATTAGCAAATATACCTTGTTCNAGAACCAAATATACCTTGTTCAAAAACCAAACTGCACGTATCACGTAAACCAAAAACCTGTTTTGAAAACACCTACAAAACAAAACCTAAAAGTCAGAATTGATCATTAATGGAGTATTATGCATACCAAAAAAAAGCAATTTCTCCTACTATATGTAAAACATAATTATTTCCTCTAAACAAAATGCAATAATGAATGTTTAAAATGCATAAACTCGATAAATGTAATAATGAATGTTTAAAATGTATAAACTCGAAGAATGTGAAAAAATGACGGATTTGTTGAGTGGAATGATATGATCTTATATAGTGGCGAGGGAGGTGTCGATTTAAGGTTTATAGAAATAGTATTTTTGATAAAATTAATTATTTGAAAAACTTGCTCCACAATAATAGGAAACAATATTACTTGAAATATCAAGATATTTAATGTGCAAAGATACTAATTAGGTTTTAAAAAATTGATTTAATCGGATTTGGTATGTATCATCGAAATTGGTCATTAAGATATCAAATTTTTACACAAACTTTATGGAAATTAATGTATTGATCATATCTCTAAATATTATTGAGAATTAATTATAAGTAAATTGAGAATTAAATAATAGGAAAGGAAATGTTTGGCATATTGTCGAATTGAGAAAATATTTTTGACTCATGTTTGTACTAATTTAGGAAATGAAATGTTTGACATAACTCGCATTCGTGCCCTCTAATTTTGAACGTGAACATCTTTCATTCAAAGAAATTTTTTTTAGGGAATATCTTCCCATCTTTTATCTTCACGTTTGATGCAAGTTGTTGGATTTAAGTTATGTATTGAATAATTAAGGAAATTACATTTAATTGTTAGATTTTTAGGTTATTTGTTCAAAAATTGGAAGATTTCCAAATATTGAGTAAATATTTATATTTATGGGAAGATTCTTCCCGTAGTTGTACTTTGATATATGTTTCCACTAATTATAGAGATGATCCAATTAATTAGGTGTGACAAAAAACCAATTAATTACGAAAATGCCATTTATGAAAACCGGGTCGCGAACCGAGTCGCACAGGATCCGCGTCCTTTCCATCGGATGCAGTTAAAAAATATCTGAAATTGATCTCAAAATTACTGAAATTGCTATTGCATTTGTCCAAAATTACTCTTTTCAATTGAATCAATTTAGTTATAAGGCAATGACAATTTGAGTAATATTTGAATCGATTTTGGTCATTCTCCTAAATGTACTTCTGTTTTAATATTATAGAGATACTTAAAGAAATAAATGTAAATTTACTTATGGAAAGATTTTCTAAAAGATTTTGTTATGATT